AGAGAGAGAGAGAGAGAGAGAGAGAGAGAGAGAGAGAGAGAGAGAGAGAGAGAGTTTTGTAGTAGTTTCCCCTCTAGATCATAAGAATGTGTTTGTGTACAGATGCAGCTGAAATGAAGACTGTGGATGTGTTTTAAATGAGCTCAATTAAATTACTGATATTGTGAAGATATTCCTAATGTTTCTTTTCTATGCTGCATATTAAAAAATATTCATATATTTCCATTTTAACAAGCTTTAAATTAGATATTTTTAAATGTCTCATGAAGGATAAAATGATCTTTATAAATGTGTTTACAAAACGATTAAACCTCAGGAAGTTAAATAAATGTATTTATATATCATAACCACTACTATCATCGGTGAAGTACCACATGTATACATGTTGTGCAGCCAGCCTGCACTGTTATTTCTGTTACCCAAATTTTGTTGTTTTCTTTGCTATTTAGCTATTATTTACTGTTCGACATTTTGACTTTACACTCTATATATTACCCTAAATTTTTGTTTGTTTACTCTTCGTGCATATACTGCAAACTGTGAATTTTGTATTCTGTATTATCTTTATTTTTATTCTTTATAGCGAGTCGAAGGGTTTCTTTTCATCCTAAGAATTTCATTGCATTGTTGACTCGTTAACTTGCATGTGACAATGAATCCTGAAAAGGAAAGAATTTGTGAAGATCCTAATGTTTCTTTTCTATGCTGCATATAAATATATTCATATATTTCCATTTTACCAAGCTTTAGATATTTTTACATGTCTCATGAAGGATAAAATGAGCTTTATGTGTTTACAAAATGATTAAACCTCAGGAAGTTAAATAAATGTATTTATATGCTATATAAAGCTCTAACTTGGTGAATTCTTTAGTTCAACTAAAGAAGTCACGTGACCACATTCCTCAGTCACATTCCTCAGTTCCAGAAGGACTGTCAGATGGATCATGTAGCTTCAGAACCAATCAGAAAGATCCATGAGGAACAAAAGGACGTCCCCCTCGTGGATTAACCAATCAGAAGAATGAACTGTGAACTAAGGTTGCAGAGATACAGCCCTYTTGTCTCTACCCATTGAGGGGGACACAGGAGACCCGCAGCTGTGAATTCCTTTGTTCAACTTCTCTGTAATAAATGTATTTTTTCTTATGTATTTTTTCTTAAGTGGTTGTCCGGTCTCTCATGAAAATAAACACAATGTCTGCTCTGAAGAGCCTGTCAAACAAACACAGTTTGCTAGGAGACACAGACGTAAAATTAAATCCGATCAATATAGCCCCTTTGACGAATAAATGTGAGTGAACCATCTAGAACCAACTAGAGGTTGTGAAATCAAAAACAGTCGGCATTTCAATGTTAGTCCTAAAGACGCATTTTGACGCAGCCACGAGGATTTTAGACAATCACGTTAGCTTGTTAAGCACAACCGTCAGATTGCTATCGTTAGCTTACAGATGCTAACAGTCAAAAGTTTAAGGCAGCGTTTATTTACCTTCTTGTGTTACATTCCGTTTTAGCCAGCTGATGAAGCGGTCAGTTGTGTAACCAAGCGAAGACGTGAAGACACAAAAAGAAAAGTCCACAGTTTTTAGTTGATCATTCTTGCTCGCATCGACCGCTAGTACTAGATTTGTTTTCGCTTGGGGGAAGCTGAGATCACGTAAAGTATCGCGAGACTACAGTGTAAACTTTACTGGTGCTGGAATGTACATGTGATCTGAGCAAACATCTCTGAAAGCACAAATAAATAATAATAATAATAATAATAATAATAATAATAATAATAATAATAATAATAATAATAATAATAATAATAATAATAATAATAATAATAATAGAAGTTGACGTTTGAAAAATATATATTTGTATTATACAAAACAATTGAGCCAGTCAAGCAAAAACACACAGCTTTGCATAAAAATTGTTAAACAGAATTGTACTCATTCATTATTTTTTGTTTAGGAATTCCACCATATATTAAGCTGTTTGGAGCTAAATATCATTGGAGTTTTTACAATCATAGCAAGTAAAATACTCAGTGAGCACACTCAAAACACAAAAACAGCCATGTAGGCCAATGTGTCTGAATTGACCCCTAATTGGGGCTCTGTCAAAACAATAATAAAAACAATTGGTCCGAGTAAGACTGCCTCCTTCATGATGGCTTTATAAAAAAGCCCTTTTAAATAAAAGTGCATTCATGTAACATGGTTTGCCAAATGGAGGCAAGTCACATAAATATACATTTCATAAATTACATAAATTAAATTAGATATAAATGCAAAAAAAAAGCAACAAAGAGAAAATAATCAATCAGCCTTATATAAAAGTTTAGACAGAAAAAAAACGAATTCAGTTAAAAATGTAAATTGTTCAGTTTTTGATATAATACCATTAAAAAATCAGGGCTGCTTTGACTCCAGGAGCTTCTCAAAAAAGTCTATAGCTTGTTGGATCTCCGCTGATGTCAGGTCGCCCAGCTCAGTCAGCTCCTCTGGACGTAGCTGCCTCTTCCTCAGGCTCTCTGAGTCCCCCCCGCTGCTGGCCTGGGCCGCATTGTGGATGTCCTGGATCCTCGTCTGCAGCCACTCTCTGCGCTCCTGCACCTGCTTGTGGTGCCTCGAGTTGTGCATGAGCTGCACCTCGCTCACCGTCCTTTTACTGCAAAATCAGCACAACTGTAAATTTTACATCGCAATAACAACATCTGTTGTTTTTTTTTTTAAAGAAGTTGTTCTTATAAATGATATGAATAAAAAAAGAGAAGTTTTACCTTAGGGGATGTCCTTGACAGTGAATGGAGAGGTATAAAACAATAAGAGAAACGAACAGGATCTTAAAGTATATATGTTGCATGTTGAGGTTGTTGAGCTGTAAAAAATGAAAAAAAAAATAGAAAATTAAAATCACATTTTTCTCTTAAAATGAAATAAATCTCAGATTAAACATGTCTGGTTTTTTAAAACATGTTGACAGTGTGTGGTTTTACACTTTGCAAATGATACAAAAAAAAGTTATTTTATGACATTTGACGGGTCAAGAGGAACATACCTGTGGTGGTATTTCTTCTACTTTTCAGCCCAATAAAAACTTGCAGTATTAGTACTAGTAGTGGTATAGCTCTTCAGTGAGACACTTGGTGCTTAGCTCCTATTAGTTATGATAAGCTCAGGACTCCTCAAGTTCCTTTTATAGCCCGGGTATCCAGTTGTTGATGAGCGGCTTTCATTATTGCTGTTGATGTCATACCTCCAGCTCCTGGAGGGGGCAGGCCACGGATGACAACACCTCCTCTCTTAGCTTCAGGCTTTCACCACCGTCTTACAGCATCAAAGAAATGGCTTTGAACCTAAATACCTTCACACCTTTTTTGACTCAGAAAAACATGCTCGAACACCAAAATCCCAGACTTTTACAAGAATGTCTGCATTATCCTGACATCAATCTTGTTCCTCTTATAAGCTGTCTCCTAAAAGCATGGGAAATCTGGGTGAACGCGCGAATAAAAGCAATAATATAAGTTTAAAACCTTGTTTCTCCGTTTAATCCTACCCAAACTCACTGTTTAGAACTTCTCCAAACTTCTTCAAGTTCACGTACTTTTTATTTCGCCTTTATCCAAGAACTGCCGCGTCCCATTCGTGCACATCTGACGTGACCTTTTATTTTCCTGATTCCTAGCATGCCTCCCAACAATGGAGGCAACGTTAGGATGGATTTGTGACTCTCGTGGACTATTACAGAGTCTCCCTGGTTACATAGACACTTGACTCAAGAATTAAGATTGTTTTAATGAGGTCGCTTTTTCAAAAACAAAGCAGAGCTTTTATACCAACTTGACGTCAGAGGAAACATCCTGAATCGCAGAGCAAGCGGGAGTTTAGGAGGTGTGTCGATGGGCGATGCTGCTGTCGTCACTGTTTTCAGACGTGACTGACAGGTTTGTGTTTGTGAGAGCAGGAAGTAAAGATTTACATCCACGTGGATCACGTATTTCATTGCAACAACAGCGAAAGGCCTTAAAACTTGTGGCTTGTACCGTTACTAAATATTTCATCATTTTAATCTCACAGCAACAACAGAAAAGTAGCATCTCAAACGACGTTTGCAGTGAGCTCGAACTGCTAGTTTTAAGTTTGGGGTTACAGATTACATATAGTAAGCTCTAAAACTAAAAGCAGGAAATCAAAATGTATCAAGTTCCTGCAACAGATCTGCCTCCCTAAAAAGCCCGGCCTGTCCGTCAGGCTGACGTTACACAGGAAGCTGTCGACCAGAGAGGAGCTGAACGTTCAGCAGGATGCTTGAAACAACCTGAGCTGCACAACATGGAAAAAGAACCGACTTCAGCTTYACATCAAATATTAGATTTTGTGTAAAACGTTTTGGAGGTTTTCATCGTGTTCCACTGAGAAGAGACTCAGGGCAGACCCAGAACTTGCTAGAAGGGCCCCGCCCCCGACCTTTGGCCTTGGGGAAACCTCCAGGAGCTGGAAAGTGTTGTTGGGGGCGAGGGAGGTCAGGGTTTCTATCCTGCAYCTGTTGAAATAGTTTCATATTATTATTGTCTAGAGCAGGGGTTTTTAACGTACTTGAAAAAAAAAAGAAAAAAGTAAAAGTAAAAAAAGACCTCAACAGAAAATGATTTTGATAAAAAATAAGTCACTGATGAAAAAAGTACTCAAGTAACAGTCATAAAACCTTTCACAAAAATCTGCAAAGTAAAAGTACTTTTACACTTTCTCTAAGAAATAAACTGAATTTACTGAACCAAACTGGTTCCACTAAACCAAGTTGCACTGCAAAAAACTGTCCACCTAACCAAGTTTTAAAATCTTATATCAGCCAAAAACTCCTTTTGATCTTTTGAGACTGATTTACTAAACAAGAACTGATTGTGTCAGAATAATAATCATGTTTTCAGAATGTGTAAGATTATTTGTCTTAGTCTGAAAATTTGACTCAAATTAAGTCAAAAATTTCTGCCAATGGAGTAAGAAAATTTTACATCTTCTTGAAATACTTGACTCATTTTTTCTTTTTTCAAGAATCTTACCAAGTAAAATTTTCTAACTCCATTGGCAGAAAGTTTTGACTTAATTTGAGTCAAATTTTCAGACTAACAAGACAAATAATCTTACACGTTCTGAAAAGATTATTATTCTTACACAATGAGTTCTTGTTCAGTAAATCAGTCTCAAAACAAAATAAAAAAAGACTTTTTGGCTGATATAAGGTTTTAAAACTTGATAAGACGCACAGTTTTTGCAGTGTAAATTGAGCAACGTTTTCTTTAAAAGAAAATCTGTGTATTGCTTCATATTTACTCTCCTTTAGTGGAACCAGTTGACTTGGTTGCGTTAATTCATCACTTCAGTTTTTAGAGCAGAAACAACTCTTTTCATGATGAATTCAGACAGATTGAATTTATAACGAGTAGCAGGTGTTAAACTTTAAAGTCAAGAAGTAAAAGTATCATTTTTAGGTTTTAAATGTAACAAAATAAAAGTAAAAGTGATTGAAAAATTACTGAAGTTCTGTAACGAAGTAAATGTGAGTTATTATAAACTTAGAGTATTCATTTTTAGAATAAATTACTTTAGAGCATGCGTGAAGATTTCATAATGAAATTCCAGCAGTAAAATACTGAAACTTTTCCAGAGTTTTTGCCCTCTATATACGGATCATTCAGAACCCCTCCCTCTGTCTCCACCAGTGAAAAGAGGCATGACGGCATCAGCAGAGAGGGATCAGCATGAGGTTATGTTCCTGTCAACGCTCTTACATTCCTGCTCTCAATAAATCATTTTTTTAAAAGCAGTTCACCTTGACAATTAAGCATCATTATTATTTAGTGACGTCATCCAGTCCACGTGTTGGGCCATAAATACAAGCTTGAACTGCTCCGTGAATGAAGCTGTTTGCAGACCAGCGTGAGATTGATGGTGTTCGTCAAGCCCCTCGGAGAGGGTGACCCCTCGCTCTGCTGTGTTACTATTACAGAGGATCCTGTTCACAGCCTATCTGCTGAGCATGTTAACCTCTGACCTTGACTTGCAACTTGTCAACCTCATTACCTCATAGCCCCGCAATGTGCAGTGGGGGGTCCCGCCGTGGCATGCAAGGTGGATGGGGATGAATAAATGGTGACATAATTTATAATGTTAGACGACGCAGCGGTCTCGTTCTGCCTGGTAACAGGTGAGAAAAAGCTGGAGAAATAATCCGAGGTAGAAGCTGGGCTAAACGGTGACGTCAACGTGCCGGGAATCACCTCCTGACATCCACAGCTGCTGCAAATCAGGTGCAGCACAAAGGTGAACTGTTTACCAAGACTCCAAAAAAGAAAACAGATAAATAAAAGAAAAATGGTGGAGTAGGGTCGTGTTTGCTATTTTCAGGTTAGGCTCAGGATTTTTTAGAGGATGACACCATGTTGGAGAAACGCTTGTCTCAAACTATTGTGTCTGCATTATTGATCTCCCCCCCCAATAATTTATATATAAGTTTTCTTGGTTAGAACACACAAATAGACAAATGAACAAGCGAACTGGACCCAGATGAACAGTTCAAAGCATTATGCAACGCAATAAACGAATAGTGTATTTAAAAACAAACAATGAGATAACAAATACTTAATATACACTCACCGGTCACTTTATTAGGTACACCACGCTAGTAACGGGTTGGACCCCCTTTTGCCTTCAGAACTGCCTCAATTCTTCGTGGCATAGATTCAACAAGGTGCTGGAAGCATTCCTCAGAGATTTTGGTCCATATTGACATGATGGCATCACACAGYTGCCGCAGATTTGTCGGCTGCACATCCATGATGCGAATCTCCCGTTCCACCACATCCCAAAGATGCTCTATTGGATTGAGATCTGGTGACTGTGGAGGCCATTTGAGTACAGTGAACTCATTGTCATGTTCAAGAAACCAGTCTGAGATGATTCCAGCTTTATGACATGGCGCATTATCCTGCTGAAAGTAGCCATCAGATGATGGGTACATTGTGGTCATAAAGGGATGGACATGGTCAGCAACAATACTCAGGTAGGCTGTGGCGTTGCAACGATACTCAATTGGTACCAAGGGGCCCAAAGAGTGCCAAGAAAAGATTCCCCACACCATGACACCACCACCACCAGCCTGAACCGTTGATACAAGGCAGGATGGATCCATGCTTTCATGTTGTTGACGCCAAATTCTGACCCTACCATCCGAATGTCGCAGCAGAAATCGAGACTCATCAGACCAGGCAACGTTTTTCCAATCTTCTCTTGTCCAATTTCGATGAGCTTGTGCAAATTGTAGCCTCAGTTTCCTGTTCTTAGCTGAAAGGAGTGGCACCCGGTGTGGTCTTCTGCTGCTGAAGCCCATCTGCCTCAAAGTTCGAYGTACTGTGCGTTCAGAGATGCTCTTCTGCCTACCTTGGTTGTAACGGGTGGTTATTTGAGTCACTGTTGCCTTTCTATCAGCTCGAACCAGTCTGCCCATTCTCCTCTGACCTCTGGCATCAACAAGGCATTTCCGCCCACAGGACTGCCGCTCACTGGATGTTTTTTCTTTTTCGGACCATTCTCTGTAAACCCTAGAGATGGTTGTGCGTGAAAATCCCAGTGGATCAGCAGTTTCTGAAATACTCAGACCAGCCCTTCTGGCACCAACAACCATGCCACGTTCAAAGGCACTCAAATCACCTTTCTTCCCCATACTGATGCTCGGTTTGAACTGCAGGAGATTGTCTTGACCATGTCTACATGCCTAAATGCACTGAGTTGCCGCCATGTGATTGGCTGATTAGAAATTAAGTGTTAACGAGCAGTTGGACAGGTGTACCTAATAAAGTGGCC